ACACATATATGTAGTTGTTTTTTTGGTGTTTGGCTTAGTGTTATGTTAAATTTGTTTTTTAATTTTAATTTTTTAAATTTTAATTTAAATTTAGTGTTATGTTAGAATCATTATTATACTCTTATACCTTTTGTTCTTTAATATTTTGAATTGTTTTTAGCTTTATTTTTTGTTTTTCATTTAAATGTTAAGTTTTGAAATTTTGTTGTATGCATTTGTCATTTTTATTTAATTTCTTTATTTTGAAAATGTGTATAAGTAGTATTTATAAAGATTTAACTTTTAGTTTTGGATCTGTTTTTAGTGGATTTAATACTACAATTGATTGCTTCTGTTGTCCTCATTTGTAAGTCGCTTTGGATAAAAGAGTCTAATAAATGACTAACTAACTAAATAAAAAAAAAATAAAAAAAATAATATATACCTGAGTGGGGCGGTTGTACACTCGCTGTTGGGCCTGTTGGGATTCGATTAGGTGCTCCTTCACTAAGGGCATCACTTTGACAATCCTTTCCCTCATCTCCTGCACATGCTCAATCAGAGATCGGTGTGGGGAAACTTGGCCTTTCCAGATTTCTTTGGCTAGATCTAAGAACCCTCGTGGCTGCCGCCCGAACAATAGCTCGAAGGGAGTGAACCCAGTCGAAGCCTGTGGAACCTCCCGAAGCCCGAACAGCACATACGGAATCATGAGGTCCCAATCACGTCCGTCTTCGGCTACCACACGTCTCAGCATTCTCTTGAGAGTCTGATTGAACCGTTCGACCAGCCCATCTGTCTGGGGGTGGTAGACCGAGGTATGAAGTTGTTTTACCCTTAGCAACTTGCACATGTCCGCCATAAGCCGGGAGACAAATGGAGTACCCTGATCAGTCAATATCTCCTTGGGGATGCCCACCCGGCTGAACAGAAGGAACAACTCCTTGGCAATACTCTTGGAGGTGGCTTTTCGGAGGGGAATGGCCTCGGGATACCGTGTGGCATAATCCATGATGATCAAGTTGTGTTCATGACCCTGAGATGACTTTGGCAATGGCCCCACCAGGTCCATACCGATGCACTCAAAAGGTACCTCTATAATGGGCAGTGGAATAAAGGGGCTGGGGGGTGGTTTCTGTGGGGCGGTGCGCTGACAGACGTCGCAGCTTCTACAGAAACGCCTCACCTCTGCATTTACTCCTGACCAGTGGAATCGATCCCTGATCCGCTGAAGCGAGTTATCGGGAACCAGGTGCCCTGCATTGGATGCGAGTGGGCCAGGGACAGAACCATTCCTGTCTTGGTTTGAGGCACAGACGCTTTTCCTCACCACTCCTAAGTGCCACACAGTAGAGCAGCCCATTTTCCACAATAAAATGTGGTGTTGGATGTGGCGGGGGTAGACGCTCTTTTCCATTAATTACTCTAACCTGATCCCAGCAGTTCTTAAGGCGCTCATCTTCTCTCTGGTCTCTGCTAAATGAGCCTCCCGCTGCTACCTGTTGGAACAGATCAGAGTACACGTTTAACTGGGAAGCATGTGACTCACCCTCTGGTTCACTGTCAGTGGCAAGCATCACTAGGCGACGTGGGGCCACCTGTTTCGCTCCACCTCTGCGCGGTCGACGCTGCCTGGCAGGTTGCATTGTGGTTGACAGAAGGCGGTCTAACCCTGGCCAGTCGCAACCGAGCAGGAGGGGTACTGGTAGATATTTTACTACTCCTACTTCCATCCTCCAGCTCCCTGTGTCTGCGGCGTTAGTAACAGAACGGGCTGGCACATACCGGGTGTCCCCATGCACACAGGTGATGGGCATCACTATTTTACTATCCTTCATTGGTGCAATGTCTGGACGGGCCAGACTCACTGAACTGCCAGAATCCAACAATGCCTTTACCGGGCGTCCGTCAATCCTCACTTTCCTTTCCGGAGCCCCAGAGGGTATAGCCCGGTGCACAATACAGCCTGCTAGCCACGCCCGCATTGCTGGTGGGTTGGGATCGGTAGGCATAGGCTCATCCCGTGGCCCGGTTGTGACTGGTCTGCTTACTGGCATAGTGGCACTTTCCAATGGTCGTTTGTCACTTTGTATTCTCCGAGAAAATCCTGCTCCAGCTCTCTCTCCCAAGTCTCATGCTTGAGCTGCCTCCGTCAGCTCTACTGCTTGTACCAACTCGGTCAGCGACTCTGGATTTCGCGTCCCCACAGCCTTCCGGTGCACCAGGGGCAGAGAACGGAGCAGCTTGTCTACCACCACCTTCTCTGCAACTTGCAATGCAGTAGCCTGGCCAGTGAGAAGCCATAGATGGGCCAACCTGGAGAGTTGGGCGGCCTGTACTCGAACGGGGGCTCGAGAATCATACACCCATTCAAAGAACCGCTGCCCTGCACACACAGGTGAGAGCCCCACCCGGGCCAATATCTCCTGCTTTAGTGCTGCATAATCAGTGGCTGAGGTGGAGGGTAACGAATAGTAGGCACGCTGCGCTTCTCCTGTTAGAAAGGGTGCAATAATACCAGCCCACTCGGAGTCATCTCACCACTCTCGCTCTGCCACAATTTCAAATGTGTCGAGGTAGGCTTCTACATTATCAAGATCTGTTAATTTGGTGAGCAGCTGGCCGGCTACGGCCCGGGTACTGGGGAGTGGGGCTCGCTGTGCGGCCTCTTGACGGAGCCGCTCAAACTCATGCTCAGCCCTTTTCTGTCGGATAGCCAGCTCCTCTGCAAACTTCTGCTGACGGAGAGAGACCTCGGCCAGCCGGCGCAAGATGTCTTCCATGCTGCACTAGAGACAGTGTGAGAGAGCTGGATCTGTAAGGTAATGAGAGACAACACACACACGTTAGGACAGAATCTAACCTAAATTCTCACTTGCCCACATTCTCCACCAGTTGTGGCGGGAGAAAGGAGGCTCAGACTCAACATGTGGTGAAATATCCCCGAAGGGGCATTTATTGAGTGACAGTGATGAAGGTGCTCTGAGGATCAGAGAGGCAGATCATCCGCCGTGAAGAGTGTAGAAGTGAAGGTGCAGGAACCTTGTGATCTGGGGTCTCTTAATAATCACTGGAGCCTGCAGGAGGAAAAGAAGCAGAGACAATGTTAGCCTGGTCTTAGGAGATCTTGTTCCCCTTGATGCTTCTTTCTGCTCTGTTTATATCCCCTTCTCCTGATGGCTCTGAGGTGGCTCCTGTTCACAGACTCCGCCTCCTGGCAATTGGATCCTCTCCCTCTCCATGACAACGCTAATGAGTGCTTGGGTAGCTCGCCACAATATATATATATATATATACACACACACACAGAGAGAAGAAATATGTTCAAATAATTGTGTGTATGAATTGGATTTCAAATGTATTTCTCAGAATATCTGGATAACAAAATGAGCATTGGGTCATTGATCCACAAACTAAAAACTACAAATGTTTATGAACAACAAATATTATATACAAAACTGGTATGTACATACATATCAAATGATTAGTACCATGAAGCAGATAAAACAGTGAAAAATTAGGCTAGTGTGATACAGATATAATGGAAACCCTATAAAAATACCACTTGCAGACATTAATACCAGGTGTAAATAAGGCCTTTGATTATGTTAATAATTCTTGAGTATGCTATCTCTGTCTTTCTCAAACAGAACAATCTTCTGGACAGCAACCAGTGGACAATCAACCAAGACTGCCCTGCTCTCGGTTTTTGAAGGCCTAACACTGGCAAGAGCAGCTTCCAAATCTTGAATACTTATCTTGCTGGATCTGTCCCCTGCTTTTGACACTGTTAACCACCAGATCCTCCTGTCAAGCCTCATGGCAAAGGGCATATCAGGAACTGCACTCCAGTGGTTTGAGTCTTATCTCTCAGATAGGTCCTTCAAGGTATCTTGGCGAGGTGAGGGGTCCAAGTTGCAACATCTAGCTACTGTGGTGCCTCAGGGCTCAGTTCTTAGAACACTTCTCTTCTCTATTTACATGGCATCACTAGGTTCTATCATTCAGAAACATGGCTTTTCACATCACTGCTATGCTGATGACACTCAACTCTACCTCTCATTCCATCCTGATGATCCAACGATAGCTGCTCGCATCTCAGCATGTCTAACAGATATTTCTTGCTGGATGAAGAACCATCACCTTCAACTCAACCTTGCCAAGATAGAATTGCTTGTGTTTCAGCCAGCCCAACACGTCATCACAATTTCTGCATCCAGCTAAGTGCATCGACCATAAAACCTTCCAGGTCAGCCAAGAACCTTGGAGTTGTGATTGATGATCAGCTGAATTTCACAGATCACATTGTTAGAACTGCCCGGTCCTGCAGATTTGCCTTATACATCATTAGGAAGGTCAGGCCCTTTCAATTGGAACATGCTACACAACTCCTTGTTCAAGCTCTTGTTCTGTCTAGGCTGGACTATTGCAATGCCATCTTGGCAGGTCTTCCAGCCAGCACTGTCAAACCCCTGCAACTAATCCAGAATGCAGCAGCAAAAGTAGTCTTTAAAGACAAAAAGATTGCATGCCACACCTCTGTTCATCACTTTGCACTGGCTACCAATAGACTTATAACAATGATTCAGGAGCCGACGTTTTGACGTAGAAGCCGCATACACTGCCGCTTGTTTTCAAGCAGAGGAATGCACATGCACACGTCATAATACTCTCGTGAATGGCGGCGGAGACTGACGCGGAAGAGAAGAATTGTTGAATAACGTCATTATTTTTGTTTTCTATGCTCAAAAAAAAGTATTCTCGTAGCTTCACATAAATTACGGTTGAACCACTGATGTCACATGGACTATTTTAACAATGTCCTTACTACGTTTCTGGGCTTTGAACGTGGTAGTTCCGTTGCTGTCTATACAGGGACAGAAAGCTCTCGGATGTCATCAAAAATATCTTAATTTGTGTTACGAAGATGATTGAAGGTCTTACGGGTTTGGAATGACATGAGGGTGAGTAATTAATGACAGAATTTTCATTTTTGGGGGAACTATCCCTTTCATTCTTATTATTATATATATATATATATATATATATAAACCTTGCTTCATGTTACTTGCTACAAAAAAACTACTTGCTACATGTACTGCGTTAGACTTGTCACAGCACTTACATATTGCATTTATTACATGCTACTTGCTGCAAAAAAAAAAAAAAAAACATAAATAATCTTGCTACATGCACTGTGTTAGACTTGTCACAACCCATATATTGTTGCTCTTTCGTTGATTTGACTGCTTCTATTGTCCTCATTAGTAAGTCGATTTGGATAAAAGCGTCTGCTAAATGACTAAATGTAAATGGTAGTATGCAGAATTCTTATTCTAAATTACCCAAAACACCCTTGCAACCACATACATTACCATTCAAACGTTTATGGTTGTTAAAATAAAAAAATAAGGTGTCATTTATTCCTGTGATGTCAAAGCTGAATTTTCAGCATCATTACTCCAGTCTTCAGTGTCACATGATTCTTCAGAAATCATTCTAATATGCTGATCTGCTGCTCAAAATAAATAAAATAAAAACCCTTTTATTTTATCATCAACGTTAAAAACAGTTGTGCAGCTTAACATGCTTATGGATTTTTCAGGATTCTTTGATCAAACAGAAAGTTCAAACAAACAGCATTTATTTGAAATAGAAATCCTCTGTAACATTATAAATGTTCTTTACTGTCACGTTTGATTAGTTTAATGCATCTTTGCTGAATAAAAGGAAAAATTCTTACTGACCCCAATCTTTTCAACAGCAGAGAAGCAATGTGCTTAAAGGGGTCACATGATGCAATTTCAAATGTTCCTTTCTCTTTGGAGTGTTACAAGCTGTTCGTCCTTCCAAAAGAGGACGATATCCAAGAGATATAGGAAATGTTTCTGATCCAAGCTACCTGATGATGGCAGTAATGCACTGTTAAGTGCGGTTGCCAATAAAAGAAAAATGAAGAAAGAAAGAAGAGGACGATATCCGCTTCGTCATGCCTAGAGCCGATCCGTCCTGGTCACTGAGGAAATACATCAACTTCGCGCTGTGGATCGCCGGATCGGCTTTCACAGTGGACGAAGCGGAGTCCAGCCCGGGGTCGTCACATGTGGTTGCCGCAAGCCCGCCGGCCGCTCCTTCGTCGAATCCG